ACTTAGAAATCATGGAGGGGTCTGAAATTCACATTGTAGGTGCATTCCCACTCAGACAGAATTTTTAAAAAAGTTCAGGAAATCACATTGTATGATTTTTAAAGAATTTATTTGTCTTGCACTGCTGAACATAAGTATTTGAACACCTAAGAAACAGCAAGAATTCTGGCTCTCAAAGACCTGTTACTGGGTCTTCAAAAAGGCCACCTCTACTCCACTCATTAATCTAATTTAGTAGCACCTGTCTTGAGTTCTTTAAAGACACCTGTCCACCCCACAGTCAGACTACTACTACTACTACTACTACAGCCAACTACTACCATGGGCAAGACCAAAGAGCTGTCAAAAGACACCAGAGATAAAATTGTGGACCTCCACAAGGCTGGAAAGGGCTACGGGGCAATTGCCAAGCAGCTTGGTGAAAACAGATCAACTGTTGGAGCAATTGTTAGAAAAAGGAAGAGGCTAAAGATGACTGGTCAGTCTCCCTCGGACTGGGGCTCCATGCAAGATCTCACCTCGTGGGGTATCACTGATAAGAAAGGTGAGGAATCAGCCCAGAACTACAAGGGAGGAGCTGGTCAATGACATGAAGAGAGCTGGGACCACAGTTTCAAAGGTCACTGTCGGTAGAACACTACGCCGTCATGGTTTCAAATCATGCATTGCACGGAAGGTTCCCCTGCTCAAGTCACCACATGTCCAGGCCCGTCTGAAGTTTGCCAATGACCATCTGGATGATCCAGAGGAGGCATGGGAGAAAGTCATGTGGTCAGATGAGACCAAAGTAGAACTTTTTGGTCTAAACTTCACTCGTCGTGTTTGGAGGAAAAGGAAGGATGAGTTGAATCCCAAGAACACCAACCCTACAACATGCTTTGGGTTGCTTTTCTGCAAAGGGGACAGGACGACTGTACTGTATTAAGGAGAGGATGAATGGGGCCATTTATTGTGAGATTTTGAGCAACAACCTCCTTCCCTCAGCCAGAGCATTGAAGATGGGTTGTGGCTGGGTCTTCCAACATGACAACAACCCGAAGCACACAGCCAAGATAACCAAGGAGTGGCTCCGTAAGAAGCATATCAAGGTTCTGGAGGGGCCTAGCCAGTCTCCAGACCTAAATCCAATAGAACATCTTTGGAGGGAGCTGAAGCTCCGTGTTGCTCTCAGCGACGGCCCCAAAACCTGACAGATCTAAAGGAGATCTGTGTGGAGGAGTGGGCCAAAATCCCTGTTGCAGTGTGTGCAAACCTGGTTAAAAACTACAGGAAACGTCTGACCTCTGTAATTGCAAACAAAGGCTTCTGTACCAAATATTAACACTGATTTTCTCAGGTGTTCAAATACTTATGTTCAGCAGTGCAAGACAAATAAAATTCTTCAAAAATCATACAATGTGATTTCCTGAATTTTTTTTTTTTAAATTCTGTCTCTCAGAGTGGGAATGCACCTACAATGTGAATTTCAGACCCCTCTATGATTTCTAAGTAAGAGAACTTGCAAAATCGCAGGGTGTTCAAATACTTCTGTTCCTCACTGTAGCAGTAAAACGCTTTTAAAAAAAAAGGAGGGCAAAAAGATGGACCATGCTCATTGAGGGTGCAAAGCAAAATTAGTGCAAGAACCTTACAGTGCTGCAGACAGAAAACAATAAAAAACTTCTCTTCTCAGTTTATAGAATATAAAGGACAGGATACAAGAATTAATAATGCATTTGAAAAAGTTTTCCCAAAAGGAGCTTACTTTCCATTTGTCACAGCAATAATTCCCTACCACAGGTATGTGCAATATATATCACCCGATGCCTGGGACATGCAGTTCTGGGCGCCGATCAAGTCGTTTTTTGTTGTTTCTTTGTTTAAAACATTTAGCCCTGCTGCAGGCAAGTAGCAGGGCTTACTTGTCTGGTAGAAACGTTTGGCCTACTGTGCTACTACACAATTGCTTCCACATATTCTGCTAAAAAGGCCCCCCCACTATGTAGTGTCCCGGGGTCTGCTTGCCCATCTGCAGGACCGGGGCCAGCCCTTGCATGATATCACATCCAGGTCCCCTTTGACAGAAAGAATGTGATGCAGTGCAGATTCAGTGAAGTAGAAAGGAGACATGAAGACGTTTAGACTCTGGATGTCTCAAAGAGAACCTGTCACCAAAAAATGATTGCATAGGGGACTTTTTGTCCCCTATAGGAGGTATAAAAAAAAAATTTGGATAAGACTGTCGCTCTCAATATTACTTAGGCCTCAGATTTGGTTTCGCGCCTACAGTCCCACTTCACTTACAAATGGGCTTCCTCTTCTCTTGAATACCTAGGCATTCGCTAGATCCCCAGCTATGACTCATTGTTTGCTGCAAATTATTATCCATTGCTTCGCTCTGTGTCCTCTCTTATGCATTCTTGGCAATTTCCGCACCTGTCTTGGATAGGACAGGTTAATTCAGTGAAAATGACCATCTTGCTGAAATTGTTATACTACCTCACCGTGCGGGTTCCTCCTCATTTTCTTTGGTTGATTCAGGCAAAGATTACGCATTTTATCTGGGCTGATAAGCACCCCAAAGTCTCCAGAACTACGCTTTTTGTTCATAGGCTCCAGGGTGGTCTTGGGGTGCCTAATCTAACTAAGTTTTATCAGGCGAGCCAGATTGCCCCGCTGTCTATGTTGCATGCTTCCTCAGACGTTCCTCTCTGGGTCCTGCTGGAACTACCAAATTGTGCCCCTACTTCTTCTATAGCTTCCCCCTGCCCTGCGCCCTACGGCACTGAGTCCGATTTTGCTCCATAGCTTACAAGTGTGGGACTCGGTACATTACTCCAGTGGCCTGATGTTACCTTTCTTGCCTTTGCTCCCAATTACTAACAACCCTCTCTTCCCACGGGGTTAAGATCAACCAAGGGCGTTTTCTTGGTGGGTGGCCAATAGTTTTTCGCAGGTGCGACACTTTTTGACTTCTCGGTCCTTCCCTACCTGGAATTTTCTTCGGGAGTCACGGGATGTCCCTCTGGTGGAATTTTTTCGTTACCTTCAACTGTGGCATTGGCTAATCTCACTGCGGGGCACTTCTGCTTCCTGTACCAGAAATCTGCCTTTGAAGTGCTTTGCCAGCAGCGTCCAGGCGCCCCAGGCCTTATCTCCCTTCTTTATGCAGCTTTGAACAGACGCACGACGCATACTTCTCTTTCATATGTTGTTCAGTGGGAGCGCGACATGGGGGCAGTCGTGGATCTGGAGGACTGGAATAGGGCCTGGTCGCTTATAGCTAAATGTTCATTTAATACAACCACGCTGGAGGCAGCATACAAAGTATTGTTTTGTTGGTATTGGGTTCCGGCTCATTTCACCTATGCGAACCCTGCCTGCAGTGATCGATGCTTTCGGGTTGTGGCCATCGTGGTGATGTTTTGCAAATCTGGTGGTCATGCCCGAGACTGTTTCATTTTTGGTCTCGTGTGTTTGGCCTCCTTTTCTTCACCTTGTTCCATCTCTCCATACGCCGAGATGCTCGGTATGCTTTGCTTCATTGTCCCATACCGGGCCTCTTGGCTTATCAGCAGAAGTTGGCTTCCTATTTGTTTTTGTCAGCCACTAGAACAATTGCTCACGCCTGGAAGAGCCCGTTTGTCCCTCTTCAGGGGGTGCAGGACCATGTGACCACTATGATGCTCAATGAACAGATGTCAAGTATCTGCAACGACTCCCAATGTAAATTCTTGAAAATATGGGAGCTGTTGTTGCAATATGCCTTTCCCACGCTCCCCCAGCTAGCTAGTCTGGGGATGTGATGTTGTTCGGTATTGGCGTTCTTGGACCCCTGCTCTTGGTTTTGTTTCTTTTTTTTTTATACTCCTCCTTCCTTTTCTTTTTTTGTTTGTTTGTTTTGTATGGCAGTGGCCTTTAGCTGTAATTACTATCAGTAATGTTTTGTCATTTAAGTGACATTGATAGCCCCTGCGTGGGCACACATTTTGCTCTTTTGGTGTTAGAGCACTGCTTTTTCTAATTTTTTTATGTCCAATTGATAGCCCCTGTGTGGGCGTGATTTGTTGCTCCTGTGTTAAACTGTTTAACCACTTGCCCTCCTGAGGATTTACCCCCCTTAATGACCAGGCCTCTTTTTGCTACTCAGCGCTGCACTAATTCAACTGATAATTGCGCGGTCATGCAATGCTGCACCCAAAATTTATGTCCTTTTTTCACACAAATAGAGCTTTCTTTCGGTGGCATTTGATCACCTGTGCGCTTTTTATTTTTCACGCTATAAACAAAAAAAGACCAAAAATTTTGAAGAAAAACGATATTTTTTACTTTCAGCTATAAAAAATATATAGTAAACTCAAAGTTGGTTATAAATTTAGGCCAAAATGTATTCTGCTACATGTTTTTGGTAAAAAAAATCCCAATAAGTGTATATTGTTTGCTTTGTGTGAAAGTTATAGCGTCTACAAATTATGGTATAGATACTGCAATTTACGCCAATTTTTTGCTATACAGCGCTGCGCTAGTTTAACGGACAATTGCGTGGTCATGCACTACGGTACATAAATGAAATTTATGTCCTTTTTTTCACACAAATAGAGCTTTCTTTCAGTGGTATTTGATCACCTGTGCGTTTTTTTATTTTTTGCGCTATAAAAAAAAAAAAAGGCTGACAATTTTAGAAAAAAAAAAATGTTTTGGACTTTTTGCTATAAAACATGACCCGGCGACTGACACCCGCAGCTGGGATCGACGGTGCAGGTAGGGCAGCGGCACGCCTCGTGCGCACCCTCTACCAGTTTCGTGCCCAGGCCAATTTCCAGCTTTCAGCGCTGTTGCACTTTGAATGACAATTACGCGGTCATGCAACACTGTACCCATATGAAATGTTTATCATTTTTTTGTGAGAGATAGAGCTTTATTTTGGTGGTATTTAATCACCTCTGGGTTTTTTTATTTTTTCTTAAACCAAAAACCACTGAAAATTTAGAAAAAAAAAAAAAGTTTTTTCTTAGTTTTTGTTTTAAAATTTTGTAAATAAGTGATTTTTCTCCTTCACTTATGTGCGCTAATGAGGCTGCAGTGATGGGCACTGATAGGCTGCACTGGTAGGTGGCACCGATGGGCATTGACAGGCATCACTGATGGGAACTGAAAGGCAGCACTCATATGGCACTGATAGGCGGCACTGACTGGCACTGATAGGCAGCTCAGATGGGCACTGATATGTGGCATGGATGAGCACTGAGAGCTGTCACTGATGGACACTGACAGGTGGCACTGCTGGGGCTACACAGATCATCATTTCCCTGTTTACATGTGGTCAGCTGTGATTGGACACAGCTGATCACATGACCGAGCCGACATCTTCGGCTCTTTCCGTAGATCGGTGATCCGCTGTGTCCAAGGGTTAGAATGGGAGGACATCATATGACGTCCTCCCAGAAAGAGAGAACCACCTTGCGTCCGTCATATTACTATATGGCGGGCAGGGTAGGTGGTTAAAATTAATAAAAAAAACATTGAAATACAAAAACGAAAGTGGATTTGACCCCATTAACCATTATAAAATTAAACAAACGTTCTTAAAATGGAAAAAACTTTTCAAAGGAAAAATTAATTTGTGTGCGTCCATCATAAGTAACATCAGGTGCAAGTAGCTTGTTTCAAGCAACCTACCAATTGGTGGGGGGAGGGTGGTCTGTCATGCACAATATTATATTAAAATCCTGTCTGAAAATCTTCAAAGCAGCGTTTTGGGTCTTTTTATTTTTATTTTATTTTTTTGTCTTTAAAATAAAAATTGATTCTGCTCCTACAGTATGTACCAGATTCATCCTCTAATAGTATATATTCCTCTCTTCTCTCTTTTATTCTGAGAGGGGATTAGAGCGTTTGTTCCCTAACCATATGGCTGGTTATTTATATTTACCACATTACCACTTCAAGATTACTAGGGATACGCCGAAATTCCGGTGGCTGAAACGAGAAAAAAAAAAAAAAAAAAGGCACAGATACAGGTGCCGAAAAAATCCCGCCGCTCAAAGCCACCCACCACCACTCGGTAGTTCAGTCTTACCTGAGAAACCATCGATCCCATGCTGGGCATAGAGATGAGTGAAGGAAAGATGACCAGCACATATCTCTATGCCCTTGGAGGACCAGAGCAATGTCCCTTCCAGTACCGGCAATTTTTTTTTTTTTTTTTTTTTTTTTTTTTTTTAAAGCACCAGATCAATCCTTTTTTTAATCCAATGCTTATTGAACCCATATCTCTCCATAAAGGAGGACCTGTAACTAATTATTTATATCACAAAGGATGCATGTGATAATAAAAGTGATTACAATTTTTTTTTTTTTTTTTTTTTTTAAAAAGGAACAGTGCAAAAAAATATAAAATAAAAATAAATAAATACATTATTTTTAAAAAGTTTAAAAGTGCCCCCGTCCCCCTGTGCTCACACGTAGTGGTGAACGCATACGAAGGCCATGCCCACATATGCAAATGGCGTTCAAACCACACATGTGAGGTATCGCTACGAACGTCGGAGCAAGAGCAATAATTCTTGAACTAGATCTCCTCTGTAATGTTACACTGATAACCTGTAGAAATTTTTAAAGCATCTTCCATGGAGATTTTTAAGTACCGCAGTTTCATGCCATTCCACGAGCGTGCGCAATTTTAAAGCGTGACATGTTGGGTATCTATTTACTCGCCGTAATGATATATGTCCTCTTACATATTTTACAAAGCAATTGGGGTATATATTTTTTTAATCAGTGTTTAATCAGTCAGGTCCATAAATATTGGGACATCGACACGATTCTAACATTTTTGGCTCTATACACCACCACAATGGATTTGAAATGAAAGGAACAAGATGTGCTTTAACTGCAGACTATAGGCTTTAATTTGAGGGTATTTACATCCAAATCAGGTGAACGGTGTAGGAATTACAACAGTTTGCATATGTGCTTCCCACTTGTTAAGGGACCAAAAGTAATGGGACAATTGGCTTCTCAGCTGTTCCATGGCCAGGTGTGTGTTATTCCCTCATTATCCCAATTACAATGAGTAGATAAAAGGTCGAGAGTTCATTTCAAGTGTGCTATTTGCATTTGGAATGTGTTGCTGTCAACTCTCAAGATGAGATCCAAAGAGCTGTCACTATCAGTGAAGCAAGCCATCATTAGGCTGAAAAAACAAAACAAACCCATCAGAGAGATAGCAAAAACATTAGGCATGGCCAAAACAACTGTTTGGAACATTCTTAAAAAGAAGGAACGCAACGGTGAGCTCAGCAACACCAAAAGACCCGGAAGACCATGGAAAACAACTGTGGTGGATGACCGAAGAATTCTTTCCCTGGTGAAGAAAACACCCTTCACAACAGTTGGCCAGATCAAGAACACTCTCCAGGAGGTAGGTGTATGTGTGTCAAAGTCAAAAATCAACAGAAGACTTCACCAGAGCGAATACAGAGGGTTCACCACAAGATGTAAACCATTGGTGAGCCTCAAAAACAGGAAGGCCAGATTAGAGTCTGCCAAACAACATCTAAAAAAGCCTTCACAGTTCTGGAACAACATCCTATGGACAGATGAGGCCAAGATCAACTTGTATCAGAGTGATGGGAAGAGAAGAGTATGGAGAAGGAAAGGAACTGCTCATGATCCTAAGCATACCACCTCATCAGTGAAGCATGGTGGTGGTAGTGTCATGACGTGGGCATGTATGGTTGCCAATGGAACTGATTCTCTTGTATTTATTGATGATGTGACTGCTGACAAAAGCAGCAGGATGAATTCTGAAGTGTTTCGGGCAATATTATCTGCTCATATTCAGCCAAATGCTTCAGAACTCATTGGACGCCGCTTCACAGTGCAGATGGACAATGACCCAAAGCATACTGCAAAAGCAACCAAAGAGTTTTAAGGGAAAGAAGTGGAATGTTATGCAATGGCCAAGTCAATCACCTGACCTGAATCCGACTGAGCATGCATTTCACTTTCTGAAGACAAAACTGAAGGGAAAATGCCCCAGGAACAAGCAGGAACTGAAGACAGTTGCAGTAGAGGCCTGGCAGAGCATCACCAGGGATGAAACCCAACGTCTGGTGAGGTCTATGCGTTCCAGACTTCAGACTATATCTGACTACAAAGGATTTGCAACCAAATATTAAAAAGTGAAAGTTTGATTTATGATTATTATTCTGTCCCATTACTTTTGGTCCCTTAACAAGTGGGAGGCACATATGCAAACTGTTGTAATTCCTACACCGTTCACCTGATTTGGATGTAAATACCCTCAAATTAAAGCTGACAGTCTGCAGTTAAAGCACATCTTGTTCGTTTCATTTCAAATCAATTGTGGTGGTGTATAGAGCCAAAAATATTAGAGTTGTGTCGATGTCCCAATATTTATGGACCTGACTGTATATTCTTTTTTAAAAACTGCGCATTTCAGTTTCGGTTTTCGGCCAAGTGCATTTTGAATTTTCGTTTGCAGTTTTGGCACCAGAATTTTCATTTCGGTGCACCACTATAAATTACTTAACATAGTAACTAAATTGTATGCCAAACTTTATATTTTAGGTTTTTATCTGATTAATCAGTCAACTAAACGACTATGAATATTATTGTTAGCTGCAGCCCTACTGGGATGTATGACATCATTTTGGCCTAGGCTAGAAACCAGAAAGCAAACGAAGATCAAAAAAAAAAAAAAAAAAAAAAAAAAAAAAGTTTTAAACAAGTAAATAGAAAATACCTTCCTATGTAGGATATTATTGGACAAAATTATAAAAACAAGTAAATGAATGAAATGGTTACCTAATATGGTGTTAGAACGCCTTTGGCATCCAAAACGACCTGAATGCTCCTGGGAATTGACAAAATAAAAGCCTTGGATGGTGGTTAAAGGAATCAGATACCACAAAAATTGTTCCAGTTCTTGCAGAGATGCCAGAGGCGGAAAACAAGCCTGAACCTTGTTCTCCAAAATTGACCAATGCACCAAGGGAAGATGCAAGACTTCATCTGCATGCTGTCAAACCATGCTTTGACAACACCAGCTGGGTGAATAGCAGCATTAACGCCTTGGTTAAAGGCGCTATCTTTGGGAAACAATGTCTGTACCATGAGGTGCACATGATCGGCCAAAATTTATAGTTGATGGCAGTGATTTTACCTTTCAAGTTGATTACATTACATTGAGTATATATAGCGCCAAAGGGTTTGCTCAGCGCTGTACAATAGAGGGGGGGACAATACATGAAACATTACAGCAACTACAAACAGCACAGGAGGGGTAAGAGGGCCCTACTCTTTCGAGCTTACAATCTAGGAGATGAAGGGATCTGCAGCATACCAAGATATGATATGATGTACCAAACCACACTTTACTGTTGGCACAAGACAGTCCTGGTCGTAAGGTTGGGACAATGTTTGCCACATGTAAACACATCTGGTGGTTGGGAACAATGTGAAACTCAATTCATCAGACTATATTACAGCCTTCCATTGAATGACTGTCCACGATTTATGGGTGTTGCACCACTCTCTCCCCTTCTGAGCATTATTATTGGTCACTAGTGCTTTGGCAATTGAGTTCCCACCAAACAGTTTTTTGCAGACACAGGCTTTGGAAGACTTAAGACTAGAAACTCCACAAGCTCTGACATGACAAGGGTGGATAAAAATCGTTTACAAAAAAAAAAAAAAAAAAAAAAAGTTTACCTAATTTAAAATCAGATTTTTTTTTTATTTCTATCAAAATTAAATTTAATAAAATGCTTTTGGAGTAAAAAAAAAAAATCTATCTAAAGATATTTTTCTATTGAAGGTACATTAATTTAGTTTATTTCAGCATGAAATTGAGCTTAGTTATGTAGCATGAGGCTATACATTCTGCAAAATTTACAGCTCTGCAAGCTGAGATAACATGCACTGCATTTATGCATTCACACAAATTTCACTATTACCATGAGAAAAAAACAAAATAAAAGAATTTGAGTAGTTCAACAATGTGTTATTTACCTATTAACCTAAAATTGGTTCCGATATCACTGTTAAACTCACCTGACAGCCTATTATTGTAAAAAGGAAACCTTTATTTGGTTTGCAAATATTAAAGATTCTAACTACCAGCAAGAAAGAGTCGGACCCTTACATTTAAAGAGCACCTGTCATTTTAGATACATCATGGCAGCGCCTGTTAGCGGGCATCCACCTAACCTGCTGCTGCCACGTCTCTAACCTTGTTGTGTCACTACCGCATCACCAGCCGT